GCATGTCAGGGAGAAAATTAGCCTAGAATCTTCATGAGATGCTAGATTTCTATGTGCCTTTTTGATTGTATGCAGGAGCATCCAGCCTAAAGCCTGTCCTGACTCCCTCCTTTCCCCTACGACACTGAGCAGGCAACAGCCATTTTTTTCCTTTACGATCCTGAAAAACACCCTCCCCTCCCCTAGTCTGAGTTGCACAGGAGGGAGCCTTCCGAGGCAATGATTGACGGATCAAAGGGCTCAGCCGTGGGTCCCTTGGGGGGGGTGCCCCTCCACCTTCCCTCTGCCTACGTGCCTCCCCATATATGGAGCCGGCTCTGGCAGGCCAGGAAGGTTTACGCTCCCTCTCACAGGCGAGATAACGCGCCTGAACTGAGCATAGCTGGCCTTCGCCCCCGTCCACCCCCCCTCCCCTGTAGGGCAGGCAGGTACTGGTACAGCCTGGCCTTGCTGGGAACTTCATGGCACTCGGAGCGGCTCCCGCCGGCATTCAGCACACAGGCATCTGCAAACACGCCCGTCAATTATTAATAAAGCCCCAGGAAACCGAATCCCAGCGGATGGGACAGGTTGCTCTCCGGGGACTCGCAGAGAGGAGAGTCATTTCCCCAGTTTGGGCAACATCTGTTTACATGGAAGGCCGGGGCCAGCTCTGAGTGCACCCTCCCCGGCCTGGAGCAAAGGTCGCTGAAGAGGAACAGGAACAACGGTGGAGACCCAGGTAATGTGAACGCTCCCCAAACCCTAAACCTGACATGGTGGGCATTTGCTGGCCCAGGAGGCATTCTTCTTCACCGCAGACACAGATTGCCCTTGGGCACACCTGTGTTTGCTCCCATGGACAGTGTGTTTGCGGGGCGGGCGAAAACACCGCAGACACAGATTGCCCTTGGCCACACCTGTGTTTGCTCCCATGGACAGTGTAAGTGGAACCGTGCCTCTCCAGGAAAGTTCGGGGATGCAATGGCCAAGGGCCGGGGAGCCGCGATGTCCTTAGTCTGTGCCTAAATGACAGACAGCAGACCTGAGAGCAAAACAGACCCTCCATGTTCAGAGGCACTCTACCTCTGCATCCCAAAAGCTGGGGACAGACAATTGTAGAGGGCTGCGGTTTTCATACCCAGCTGTGGACTTTAGTCTCTATGGAAAGGGGGTGGCACAGCTGGTGATGACTCACCTGGCAAAGGTAGCATTTAAACGCATGTCTTCAGTACGCAGTACGCACTTATAGCATTTGTTCACAACGGCTGTGAAAAGCGTAACTGGGCCCTTCCCTCCTCAGAAAGAGCCCCGGGAATTCTAGCAGGCTGACCAACCGCGAGGCGGTGGCTGGGAGTTTCCTTCTGGAGACGGAGCTGCAGGTTCCATCCGTGAATTCCTTTAGTGGCCCTTGGGTATTTCAGCTCCCGGTCTGCAAAATAAGGAGAATAATTTTCTTTATAAGAATAACAAGGTGTCTTTCCAACCATCAAGTACTAGAGACAACATCCGTACCATCCAAAATGCTGTAGAAACAGCAAAAAAAAATGCCCGGGGTTGTTCTGAAGACAAGCGGTAATGAATTAAAAACGCTTAGGGACATTAGCAGGGCTGCGGCACGGAATTCCACTCGGCAGGCAGCCCTGCTCATGCGTGATTGGACGTACTTTCCAAAAATGACAGAAAATGACAAAGAACTCCAGCTAAAGGGACACGCAGCTAAAACACTTTGTGTGCACAATGACCAAGTTATGGATCTATACAGGAGTTTCTCATTCATGCCTACATGGAAAAGTCCTTCCAGTAGAAAATATATAATGTTTGAATAGTTCGTTTGGCAGAGAAAAACAGCTATTCTTTCATTTATTGAGCATAACTCCGTTCTGTTTTCCCACACCCCAGAACAACAAATGTGTTTAAAATCCAAAATAATAAAAAAAATAACTTATTTTTAAAATCAGTGGCAGTCCTAAAGAAATCTGCAGCGGAAGGGGATCAGCAGGAGCTGGAGCAAGATTTGTGGACGGGGCTGTTGAGACCTTCCCCACCACCCCCAGGTTCCCCTGCCAAAAGTCCTTCTGCCCTTCACTCAGCGTTTCCAGACCCACTCCCCCACCCCCTAGGGGGGCCAGTTGGGTTGTCAGCTCCGGGTTGGGAAATACCTAGAGATTTTTTTGGGGGGTGGAGCCTGAGGAGGGCGGGGTTTGCGGAGGGGAGGGGCTTCCGTGGGGTAGAATGCCATAGATTCCATCGATTCCAAAGCGGCCATTTTCTCCAGGGGAGCTGATCTCTGTCACCTGGAGATCAGTTGTAATAGCAGGAGATCTCCAGCCACCAGCTGGAGGTTGGTGACCCTGGCGACCAGGGCCCCTGGAATTTGGCCCCCCGCCCCAGTTCCTCTCCCTCTCAGCAATCCGGGCTGAGAAGACATGATCATTTTTAGCTGAAGTTTAAACCATACAAGGGAGGGGAGGTGGCATCCCGTAGCCACAGCGGGGCCTTTCGGGGCCTGGCCCCCTGACTTCCTGCCAAGCCCCCCCGACTTCCATCCAGCCCCCAGGCCCCCCGACTCTCTGGGCCACCCCACTGCTGCCCCTTTCCCAAGCGTGGCTTGCTTCCTCGCGTAGGCAGGAAGAGTGCAGATGTTGCAAAAGTGAGTTTAAAATTTTTTTATTTTAATTTCTTTACTTTGTGACGTCAGTGCCACGCGCGCTTATTTAAAGGCCCCCTGCATTGCAAAATCCTGGCCACGGGCCTGGGCCTGGTATCACCCAGGCTTGGAAGCCAAGCAGGATTGGTACTCGGATGGGAGAAGACGACTCACATGAAGACGTGACGCTGCTATGAGAAGAACCCCCTTTAGACTGACGGTTCTGTGAGGGTCTGCGTGTCCGGACCTAGTCAGAGTTGATTTCATTGCTTTTGACCAGTCCTCTACACCCAATGTATAATATTCTCTTCGGGTTTTGTCTATTTCAGGCTGTCTTCCTTGAGGACTGCCGCACAGTACATGGCTCCCCAGAAAGTCAGGCACCAATACTTATAACCAGGGCTCTTTTTTTTAGAAAAAGCCCAGCAGGAACTCATTAGCATAATAGGCCACACCCAACAGCAGCAACTCATTGGCTTATTAGGCCACACCCCTGACAGCAAAGCTCATTAGCATATTAGGCCACACCCCCATGTTGCCAGAAGTGTGGTCATCCAGCCACACCCACCTTTTGCTTCTTATTCTGTTTACCTTGTTTGTTGTCAAAACCCAGGGCCTTTTTTTGTAGCAGGGACTCCTTTGCATGTTAGGCCACACACCCCTAATGTAACCAATCCTAATGAGTTTCTGCTGTTGGGTGTGGCCTATTATGCTAATGAGCTGGGCGGGGCCAACTTGGGATCCAGCCGGAACTCCGTTCCTGTGCGTTCCTGCCCAAAAAGAGCCCTGCTTATAACATTCAAAAAGGCACAGTTGTGTTATTGGTGCACAGGAAACACTACAGGGGGATGGGATATATTTTCATGGGATGTTCAGATACTTTGTTGAAATATTTCTATCACTTTGCCTAGTCTTAGGCTTTCTCTTGTTCGCTCCTTCAGTGGTT